ACCAAGAAAAGAGTGCTGAACTGCTATGTAATATCAGTCCTCCTATATGGTAATGAATACTAGACAAAAGATATGTGGTTAAATGAATGCTAGACAAGGCATCAGAGAAAGTAGCCGATCAGTCAAGATGAAATAAATTTGTGAGCCTACACAAAATTCCTTTTGATATAAAATAAGGAGAAAAATTAAATTAATCTGAGAAGAGTGTCTGAAGTTATGTGAATGGTTTAGTTTCAGTTCCTCACAACTAGTGTTGAAGTTCTCTCCAGTGTAAAATTACTCACCAATTATTGCCCTCTAACCAGCACACAGCACTTTAAAGGATTTTCTCTCAACAATTCAAGAAATTCATTAAAACTACAGACTTTAAGAATTAAAAGGATTAAAGTGAACAGTTGATTTACCCACACCAAGAAGATTCATGAAGGATGATAATGACAACAAAACACACAAGTAATTTTAACAAAACAAGATAAGGAATTTATTCACAAATTTGCATGCTTGAAGTAGTGTTTGTTTCAGGAAAATAAATCAGAATTAATTAAAGTCTGTTTTAACATAGTCATGAATAGAAAATGTTCAAACAACAGATTAAATGATATAACAAAATAATATTAAAAAATGTTCAAGACAAAGATAAGAGAGTTTGTTGCTCACCGAAGGGAGACATGGTCTGCATATGTTCAAAAGTAGACAAAAAAAGATAGTTTGAAATATTAACTTTCATGGATTGCTGTTAAGAAAATACTCACTACAAATCTTAGTAGCCTTCATCCAAAACCATCTGAAAAGATATGTGTGTGCATGTGTGTGTTAATACAATCCAGGTCTAAAAAGACATATGACATTACTCAGTTTGATCCAATAAATCTTACCATGACACAGACACTCACCATGCAATACTGATTTCTATGTTCACACTGTTTATACCTAAATTGCTCTGTCTCCTATATTGAGTACTCTTTTCCCATAAATATAATTGTAGCATCTTTACAGATGATTGCCAACTCATTAACTGTACAGTACTGAATTAGTTGTCAACTCATAAACAAACTTGGCCTAGCAGAGGATTTGCATGGCTTGAAGCATATGTAATATACAAAGTGGAGTCACCTTGGCAGGATTTATTGAATCAAGCTGATATTATTTCAGTGGACAGATTTAAAATCCAACAACACTGAAAGCTCTAACATAGATGTCTGTGTGTGTGTGTGTGTGTGTGTGTGTGTGTGTGTGTGTGTGTGTGTTCAAGCATATATGCTTGAATGAGTGATTTGGAATGTATGATCAATAAAAAAATAAAATAAACAAAATTCTTTGAAATCACTAGTTTATATTTAGTGGAGATAAGGAAATGTCATATTATGATACTAAAAAGAAAAAAAAGAAAAAAAAAAAAGAAAAAAGAGAAGCTGCTTTATTAGTGCTGAACTGAATTTTTTTTCCTTTAGTAAAAAAATGCTTGCAATTCAGTTGTTTAACCAATTCTTTTTTTTTTTTATAAACTAAAACTAAAAGTATGATGATGATGAATTGAAAACACAGTACTGTACACACTTCTAATAATTCGTGACGGAGAAACCCTTAAAGCATTGTACCCGAGATACGTATCCTCTCCAAAATGCACTAATAAAGTTGGGTCATGGATGCGTTCTGGAATTGGGTTATTTTTGTCACTATCCACATAAGTGTGTGTGTGTGTGTGTGTGTGTGTGTGACCCCACTTTTTAAAAAACAGTCCGAGTGTCTGAGTTGCCCTCGTGCGGAGGCAGACACCATCATCACGCACACGTGCATATTTTCAGATTAAAAAGATTCTCGGATTATACCAAAAACTAGATAAATAAACTGTTTTATTTTATTGTAATAATAATTAAGAACTGGTAATGTCTTCTCTTTTCAAATCAGATTTATTTATTTCATCCATTTAGACCACACTCTCACTTATGGGAGTTTAAAACTGACATAATTTCAGCTTTTAATAGGTTTTTTCTTCATCTTTTTATAGACACGCTTTGATATTATATTTTATTAAGTAACTTATTTAAGTTCTCGGGTTATTTCATTGTTTTATTGACACTGACAGTATTGTGGATAGGAATTAAAAAAAAAAGTTTAATAAACAAAACAGTGATACCGTACGACATAATTTAAATTAAAAATATTTTTTTAACCACGTGAATTATAATAATAAATGTACAATTTAAAAATCAAATTTTCTCTTAACATTGCTTTAAAAATAATATTTTGGCTTTCCGCTTTACATACATACACACGTGTTTGGAAAATTCCATTCATTTAACAATTTCATTTCATTTAAACTTCCAAATTAAATTATCTGGAATCTCATAACAATTAATATAAAAAACAAATGCAACTTGAAAATTAGTAGACATTCCTTGAATTGAAGCAGAAACTATTAAAATTAAAAACATCTACTAATGATTCTTCTTTATGGTTTCATTTTTGAACGAGACTGAGTGTCCTACCTCTCAAGGGATCTTGTACTAAAAAAACACAAATTGCAATTTAGCACGAGAGGTACTTTTTCAGAAAAGGTGACCGCGGTGGGGAACTGATCGACCTTATCTTTTTTCGCCTCACTTAGAAAAATAAGAATTCTGCGAAAAGGATTTGATTTATTTAACTCATATTGCGAAATGTATTTTTTTTTTTATTGACAATAACGTTGTTGAGAGTATTTTTTTTTTTTTTGAAATAATCAAATATTTTTTTTAAATTCACACAAGAAGTAGTTTTGATTTTTACGGTAAAATATTTTTTGTATTTTAATTGCTTGTAGTTCTAAAAAAATAAAATAAAGGTTACATGCCATCCAGAAACGACCCAAAAAAAAAAAAAAAACAGACTAAAAAAATATTTTGTACGTGTTCTTTGCTTGTCAGCAAACAGATTTTGAAATTAAAAAAAAAAAAAAATCATAATCATTCATTTGAAAGGAGTTTTAAATGTTTTTTTTTCTGTTTAAAAATTCAATCAATGTTAAAGTCTGTTTACTTTAATAAATTAAAATAAATTTAAAATTTCACGTAAGAGTTTTTTTCTTCTTTTCTTCCAGAAAGATGAACCTCGCGGAATTTTATAAACCAAGATAAAAATAAACGAGGCTTTTTAAAAAAAAAAAAATTTTAAAATTAAAGTAAAGAGAAAATACTATCGAATTTTTAAGAAGAGCTTCAAATCAAATATCAATTATTAACGTGAAAAAGTAAGTAAAAATCCGAACGATTTTTTTCAGTCGTCAGTTTGTGAGAAATGGGGAGAATTTTTCCCATAAAGTTTTTTAGTCCAGTTCTTTTTTGGGGGGAATGCCTCTTTTTTTTTTTTTTTCTCAGTTTATTTTTTAAAACCATTACGATCGGATTTTCCGTTTTTACAAATAACATTTTCTTTTATAATGAGCGAGACATTCAATAAGTACTGATCTTGCTTGGGAGACAAAACTATTACTAAGTAATTGATAAATAAAAACAAAACAAGAGGAATAGAAATTAATAACTAGTGTATAGTATTTAATTTATACAATCAGGATGAAAAGAGCTAAGTCAGCAATACATTGATTAATTAACTGTTAGTGTTAACACTAGTAAACTAAACACGAATAACAATAAAGAATGACTTCCGATTATCTCAGAAACAATCGGCCGCAAACGAATGCGCACTTTTTAATTTAAAGTAAGAGATGAACGTTTAATGAAAAAGTATTATGAAATACAATGAGAAATAATGAAATAAAGTAAAACTAAAAAAAACAGCATATTTCTCGGAATTTTCTTTTTAGTTGTCAGTGTTCCTTTTTTTTTTTTTTTTTTTTACGTGGACGAATAAACTAAACAAGATGTTTTTCTCTAACTGGAAAAATAAAATTTAAAAAAATGCGAGAAAAAAGTATTTAAATTTAAGGATCAGTAGGGCATTTGTAATTCAAAGTTAAAAATTTAATAAAATTCAGTTATCTGTGCAAGGTTACCGTAAAGATAAAAATATACTTAATAAATTGTAATTTTCCGTTAAAAAAACAATTTTTTTGAAACTTCATCCCTTAAAAAAAAAGAAAAAGAAAAAGCAAATATCAACATTTTATTTAGCGAGAGCTAAAAAATGTGTTTATTTGTTCTAATAAATAAGAATAGGACTTTGTTTTACTTAATTTGACATTATTAATTCGTACAAAGAAGCCTCCTTAAAAAAAAAAAAAGAACTCATCAATGGGAAACACGTCGTATCTTTATCGCGAGGGGAAATGGAAAAAATTGTTTGGTCTGCAACTTTTATTAAAGTTTAAAAGCGTAATAAGTAACACAAGAACAAAAAAAGTGATTTTAAAAAAGGTTTTAAGTTATCACTAAGAGGCGGTCTAACTATAGAAATAAGACAAAAATCACTATTTCAAAAAATGTCAAAAAGATGAAAATATTAATGTTTTGCTTTCTTTCTAAAAAAACAAATAAATGTGAAAGAGCCAAACAACGAAAGAAAAATATGACGATTTCATTTCTATTCTTGATTTTTTTTTAATTTATCTTCAGTTTTTTATTTATTCATTTGGAAAAAGAGTAGACTCTTATTTTCTAAAGCAAAAATATCTATTTTTTAATATTTAAAGAAGAAGAAATGAAAATCATAAGGGAAATTACGGTATGTATTTTCTTCGCTGGAAATTATCAGACTGCGTGGCCAATGAATTGAAAGAAAAAAGTTAAAAGACATTACTTATAAAATTATTTTTAAAAAATACATGCGAGTTTATTACGGGAATTCATTCAATATTTATTTTCCATCATTTCACAATATTTGTGAGGTTTTCTTTATTTTAAAAACAAACTAATTTCTTCGTATCGTCGTGTGCCGATTGATAATGAATTAAAAAACAGTAACAGTCAACACTGACTAAAAACGTATTTATTTACTTTGAGTTTTAATGGTTAAGTTATTTTGATTCACTACTAAAGTGACATAGATATTAAACTCCTTCCTACCTCAATTGCGCTGGGAGTCTCCTTTTCTCTTGAGGGCAGGAACGGCTCTAATTGAATTATTGGACAAAAAAAAAGCCTGTGAGTATTGTAAGAGAAGCAGCCAGGCTCTAAAGGGCAAATGATCCATCACAGAACGTGAGGTAGTGTGTGGCAAAGACGTAATACAAGATCTCAGCCAATGAAAACCCTACAATCTACCAAGCCTCCTTTGTTCTTTTTCGTATGTGTGTGTGTGTATGTGTGTATATATATATATATATATATATATATATATATATATATATATATATAAACACATTTGCGGAATTATTCTTCCTTATTTAAAGTAGAAACAGCAACATAAAACAAGAAATGCAAATTTTATGCACCACAATAAATAGATAAAAAATTAAAAATAGACGTCCTCGCATGGCTCAGTGGTAAAACACTAGGGGGCAAAATTGATTTTTAAAACTTAGCAGACGGATAAAGTGGCGTGAGGCACCTAGTGTGAAACTCAAAATCACTACGCTCGAGTCTCGAATACAAGGGGTGATTGGAATAGTAATGGAGCGGGTATAAGAAGTGAAATGTTAAGCTAAAAATACAATAAATCAGGAGTGAGAATAGTAAAGGGTATAGAAGAAATAAGTCTATTCACACAGGGAAAAATGTGAATGAGTAACTTACAAAGTGTTTATGTTTCGATTGCAATGCAAGGTCATCTCATTATAAGAACGAAAACCATGTAGAGTACGCGTTAAAATTGCAACACAAAGATCGAGAGAATTATTGTCCAAATTGAAACTGAGAATATTAAAAAAAAAATGGGGGGTGGGGTTGGTCCAATGTCCGCCTGGCTGAAAAATATTTTAAAAAATAATTGCTCGAAGAAGACAAGAGTGTCTATTCGGGATTCTAACGGTCAGCTCAAGAATCGCTTGAGTCAATGTGGAGTATTGGTTGAAAGCCGCTTCACGGTTTTCTTTAACGAACCAATACTCCACGGCGTAAAGTTCCATCTCTGATTTCAACTAACTTGTTAGAAAGATTGATTTCAAATTCATGTCGGTGACTATAAAAAGGGGAAATTATTTTAATTGGAATCGGCTTCATCTCGACTGACGGTCAGTCTATGTTTGTTGTTCAAATTATTTGAACAACAAACACACAGTGAGTTACACTTAAGATCGGATATCTTCATCCAAATTTGAACTTCCATCACATGTCCCTGAAAACACCGTTTTACAGGGACGTTGCATTTAAGGAGATACTGAAGCCAATTAAACAAAAAAAAGTTTTTGCTAGAATGGTCGTAGAAAAACTAAACACGACGTTATCATTGCCAAAACTTTGATTTTTAGCGCAATATTGTTGCTTTTATTATAAAAGCAACAATAAAATAAAGTTAGATCTGTAATACGAGTTCAAACGGTCGGAGAGAATGTATTTTTATTTTTTTAGCATTAATTTTAACATTATTTGAACGTTAAAAAATTAAAAATAATTCTTAAATTAAATAGCTTATTATTCTACGAAATTCAAACATAAGGAATTTGTTGAAAATTTTTGATTTTTTACATCACACAATTGAACATTTTCTAAAATCTTTATTCTGTTGATTGTCGTTGTTAAATATACTTTCTATTGAAAATGAAAAGTGAGAAAACAAAGAGTGGACAAATAGTAGCTAACTAACAAGTTTTTAAAAGTAAATTACCATCCGCTACTGAACCCGCCATTACGTAACATTTTCCCAATACGGGAGACAGTGTAACAGTGAGTAGAGTAAAAAGTAAAAACAAATAAATAAAATTAAAAACAAAAAACAAAAACAAAGCAGTTTCATTCCGATCTAACTTTAACCTTTAAGAATATAGACTTCAACTGAATGTATCATTTTTTTACCCTAGTCATAAAAAAATTAATTACAAAATGTAAGCAAGTTTAACAATGCGGTGCTATAAGAAGGGCTGAAGTACCCCCATTTTTTTGCTGCAGCAGAAAAAACAAAACAGATTAAATTTCTCCTCTTTGCCCTCAATCTATGTCAGTGCTATTGAGGCTGAATTGCATCACGCCTAAAAAATCATTTACATTACTTTTCAAAATAAATCAGAAAACTGCCTTTTTGTTCTAACTTTTTTCGAAACATTTTTTTTTTTAGCTTCTAGTTTTTTAAAATTCTTATAAAAATTTTATAGGCAAAAAGAGAGTCTCATTCCCATGTAGAAACGAACAGAAAACAAGTGTATTTAAAATAAAAAAATGTTAACAACTTATTTTAAATAGATCTGAAAAATATTTTTATTTCAAGAGCAGATAAAAAAAAACATAGAATCAAGAATTTTAAAAACTTAAAAATAAAATCTGATATAGCCTCCCTCCCTCCCCTCCTCCGCCACCGACTTTTTATTTTGTGGTGTCGTGCATGGACAGTAGTGATTCTCAATATGAACAGTAACACCCTTTTGCGGTTGCTATGAACTCTTTTAAGGTGTTCAACGGAGATCTGGATGGGTGTAGGGGAGATCTTCAAAGGATAGTCGTAATAATTTCAACAAAGCAGTAGTTATGATTTATTTAATTTGAACGACCACAACACTTTTTTTTATCTTTATCCATTTGTTTATCTTTGTGCCTATATATTTACATCTTCAGACGAATCTTAAATAGATTTTAGATGCAACATATTTATGGAGCAAAAACTTGCCAGGAAAAGTCCATTACAGTAAGTCTGACCCGGTGACCGTTGCTTGGCAGTTCCTACCACAGATTACTTCCAGCGTTTGGCGCTGCTGTAATGCAACAAAAAAATGTAAGCACGTGACATTAACTCTTTTACCGGTACAGTTTTAACAAAGGTGCCAACCTGTGCGAATATTGCATAGGGAGCACCGGAAAAGCAAAACTTAAAAACCACTATTTTTTTTTAGCGTAAAGCTGAATTACGAAAATGGGGATAAGGAAAATTATTGTCACTCACTCTTGCCTTCCTTAAGTAATGCAAAAGTTTTGCGTGCCTTGGCACTTCAATAATTAACATCCAATAACGGTAAGTAATTTCGGTTATCAACGCAAGTGGGAAATACAATTATCTTAGCTAAGACATTATCTTTTGAGTAATTTTCAAAAAATGGATAAAAGGGAGGAAGAAATCTTGTCCTTGTAGTGAGTGCGAAATAATAATAACACCCTTCACCCACTCTCTTCAAATTCGGGTGAGCTGAGGGAGAAGAGGGAAAGAAATTCTCCATAACATTGGTTTTGGACCAATGAAAGCAGAAATTAGCCGGTCAGCCAAGAAGAAGGAAATAAATTCGTGAGTTTGCGCAAAATTCCTTTTGATATAAAATGAGGAGAAAAATTAATCTGAGAAGGGTGTTTGAAGTCATGTGAATGGTTTCGTTTCAGTTCCTCGTGACAAGCGTTGAAGTTCTTGCCAGTATAAAATTACTCGCCAATCTAATCAGCACACGGCACTTCAAAGAATTTCCTCTCAACAATCCAAGGAAGGTAATTATTTCAAACTCTCTTTTTTTTTACTTTTGAACATATGCAAACCATATATCCCTTCCGTGAACAAGGAACTCTCTTACCTTTGTCTTAAACGTTTTTGAATATTATTTTGTGTCAGATCTTTAACCTATTGTATTAACAATTCCTCTTCATGATAAGACGTTAAAACTATGGACTTTAAGAATTCTAATTTATTTTCCTAAAACGAGCTTTTAACACTACTTCAAGCATGTAAATTCGTAAATAAATTCCTTATCTTGTTTTGTTAAAATTACTAGTGCGTTTTTTCATCATTATCATCCTTCAATAATTTTCTTGACGTGGGTAAATCAACTGTTCATTTTAACCCCTAATCCCAATGCCACTACATCTTCATCTAAGACTCGAACTACGACCACCAAATAGATTTTCCCTGGAGACAGTGGGAGAAGAGACCACGTCGCCTCTCTTATTCAGAATATTAAAAAAGCGCATACAAAAATAAAAAAATAAAAAACTCGAAACTACTAAGTGAATTTTGAAAGGAACAAATATTTATTACTACAAGACATTAAAACAAATTTTTACTGAATAGGCTTACATAAAAAATTCCAATTGTGCGCCGTTTTAGTAAAGGTGGGTAACAGATCAAAATATATAAAGGTTCTTAAAAGGATTTGCAATTCAACCATCAAAAAATGGAAAAAAAATTTTGAGTAGGTAATATAAAAACTTTAAATAAGGTTAAAAATACTCTTTAAATAAGGTGCACGCATCTAATCGGAAAATGATAAAACAAGTGGTCATTGGCAAATTTACTTGCATCATTAGGACTTTTAACATTTTTTTTTCTTTTTTTAGAATACAGTTCTATTCACAGGTTTTACTTGATTTACTTCTTTTTTTTCCATTTGCTTCTTCTGTGGGGAACAACCCAGAACATCCACAGGTGACGGCCAAAAATAGTTTTTCTTTTTGGCTTTTTTGTGGAGACTGTCAGAGTTCAAGCTACATGACTCATCTCACAATGTCTACAGACTTGAAGACCAGCAAAGTGTTTACTTTCATCGAGGTAACACTCAGCAAGCTGCTCAGGCACAGAGGGACTGTGACACTACCCTCACTGCATAATTTTAAACTGAATGAGCATGATGATGATGCAAGGAACCACTTGTACCCTGACATTCCGCTGAATTATGTGTTTAATAAATGCACTAGAAGATGGACACCAAGGCAAAGGAATACTAATATCATCAGTAGAATGTATACAGTGAACCCTAGAGACACAGGAAAAATTCACGAATGTTGCTGCTGCATGTTTCAGGCACCATGGGCTTCCAGGATTTGCGCAATGTAGAAGGAGAAATCTTGCCAACATTTAAGGCAGCATGACTGAGTGATGGTCTTCTCTCAAACGATAACACACTGGAATATGCATTGTTAGAAGCTACTGCCTGTTGGATGCCCTTACAGTTGAGTGTTATGTTTGCTGTCCTGTGCATGTATATGAACCCTGCAAATGCTCTTTACCTGTTGACCACTCACAAGGAATCCATGATTGAAGATTTCTTGCATCAAGGTTTTAACACAGGCCACGCAGAAAACATGGCACTGCACTCGATTGATGCAATTCTGATAGAGAATGGCATTAATTGTTTAGCATTTGAGTTGCCTGAAGCTATTGGTGTACCGCAGATTGACCATAATGAAGACCTCGATCACCCAGGCATTGCAACACTTACTGATGAACAGAGACTGGTTGTTCATGCTGTACTTGAATCTGTAGATAAAAAGAGGAGAAGTAAGGTGCCCAACGAATCCTGTTCCTAAGAAGATGCACCGGGAGGTTGTGGTAAAACTTTTATGTTTAATACCATAATTTCTTATCTGCGAAGGAACAACTGGAATGTGTGCAGTGGTGCTTGGACAGGCATCTCCTCTTCACTACTGTCAGGTGGAAAGACTATTCATAATTTGTTCAAATTCTCTGACCCACTCACGGAGGCCAGCATTTGTAATGTACCAGCCACTCCAGACCATGCAAATTATTTACGAAACTTGGATTTGCTTATCTTGGATGAGGCTTTTTTCGTGCCTTCATTTACACTTCATGCTATTGATAAAGCCTTGCGAGATATCACTGGCATTTCTCCTTTTTTGTGGTAAATTTGTGATCTGGGGGTGGGGAGACTTTAGGCAACTCCTACCCATATTGCCAAGAGGAATTCGTGAGGCAATCAATGAAATCTTTATTAAAAATTCTCCACTATGGCTGATTTTCATCCAATATAGATTAAGCCAAAAATATCAGAACGACAGCAGGTCAAAAGGAATTTGCAGCATGATTCTTGCATCTTGGCAATGGAACATCAGCAACTTCACAAGACCCTAATCTTGCTGTTGATGACATAGAAGTGCCTCAAATTTCATGCGTTGATGGCTCTCTGGTGGATGTTATCTTCAACAATACATCTGATGAAGAGGGAATGAACAGAGTAATTCTTTCGCCAAAGAACTCAAACTGCCTCCTGATCAATGAAGAAGTTTTGAGACAACTTCCAGGTGACTGCTGCACCTATTATTGTACAGATAAAGTTTTGACAGAGGCTGACAGCTACCCACTTGAATTCCTAAACTTTCTGACACCATCAGGAATGCCTCCTCATAAATTGAGTTTAGAACCCGAATCAATAGTAAAGCTTCTTCGTAACATTTCAATCCAGAATGGAGTCTGCAATAGTACAAGACTGGTAGTGGTGGCCATAATTCAAGGCTTCCTTGATTAGCGGCTCACTAACTGGCAGATTTGTCCTCATCCCAAGATGGCTCCAGGCAACTAACTTGCCATTCACCTTAGAGAGAACACAGTTTCTTGTCCGTTTGTCATATACCATGGCTATTAACAAGTCACAGGGGCAGACATTTGAGAAGGTAGGATTGTTCTTACCTCAGTCACGGGAAATTGTATATGGAATACTCTAGCGCTCGCAAACTCTCAGATGTAAGGGTTAAGCTGGTGGAGACAGATAGACAAGGAAGAGGGCGAATTGTTACTAAGAACATTGTCTGCCGAGAGGTACTGACTTGAAGGATGGATTGTTTTCAGAAATTCTGGAGATCTTTGATTACATTAGGTATGTGACCTTGGTTCACACACACATATATATATATATATATATATATATATATATATATATATATATATATACAAATCCTATTAATTGTGACGACAATAAGAAACGAATATCCAGGAATATCATTTGGTGTACTCCCCCTTTCAACCTAATGGTTAAAACCAAGCTAAGACATAAATTTCTAAAAATTATCAAAAAAACATTTCCCCGACGCCGAAACTAATCCACTCAGTAAAATATTCAATTATAATACCCTTAAATTAAGCTACAGTTATGCTGATAACCTGGAAAAAATAATTAAGAAACATAATAATAGAGAATTCAACAAGTATAGGGACTTAAAAATCTTCACTACTCGCCAGGTTGCAACGAGTAAAACTAAGTATAATGACACTAATAATAACTTGTGCAATTGTAGGAATCCCAATGATTTCCCATTACAGAATAATTGTTTTAGTTCTCTAGTTTATCTTAGTACAATTTGTACACTAGAAAACCCTAATATTAAAAAAAATTACATTGGAAGTACTATGAATACATTCAAAGTGCGTTGGCGTGGACATGTGCAATTTTTCAACAATAGTAATCATAAATACAAGACTTCATTGTCCAAGTATTTTGGGGGTTTAACGGAGAAAAACAAGACACCTACTGTTAAATGGAAATTAGTTAAGAGAGCTCGAACATGTAAATGTTTATATTCCCCTTGTTAATTATGTCTTAATGAAATATTTGAAATCATTAAATTTAACAAGATCCATCTCTTAAATCAAAGGAATGATTAACTGTAAACATAGCTCAAAATTTAACTTACTATAGGCGTAGTAATATTTTTGGCGATAAAGAGTTTTAAAAGGTTAAAATCGACCAGACACAACTCGATAGAGGAAACGCTATCACATAAGCTGCAATGACCAATCAAAATGCAAGTATATGAGAATTCAAAAATATCTTTCAAAAGATGAAACTATTTATATGTAACATGTATTATATAGTTTTGTACATATATAAATCTATTGTTTTCTGTATTCATACTGGAAGAAACTGATATGGCTCTATGTTGGGAGTAGGGAGTACCACGGATTGATTGACACTGGCAATCTTTTCACACGTGGTGGACACTCCCAAGTATCTCTATGTGTTGTTTATTTCCCCAGCCTATTTGGTCAGATTTGAGGAAGTGGACGTGAAACTAATACTGCTACTAAAAATTAATATAGATCCAAAATACAATATGAAAAAAGGTAAATGGAAAAAAATGGTTTGTTGTTGTAAGTCACTCGTGAAGCATAGGAAGGACATCTACTAGACCAAGATGGCCACTACGGTTTCATTTTTCATAGGGCCATGTTGCTCGCCGCCCAACATCCAAGATTAACTACAATAGACTGCTTTACATGGCCAAAAGGCATTGATTGCTATAACATTGAGTCATAAATACTTTCCTTTTTTCTTTATTAACATTATTCCTAAAAAAATCAAGTACAATTACATTTTATTTAGTTATTTGCGATGATTTGTTGCCACTTATCAAGCAGCTCTTCAATACCTTTTGAGTAAAGTTCTCCTTGTTTTGATGTGAAAAATGTTTTGACTAAGTGTTGAATCTCATTTTCAAAGGGTTTTTCAACGACCCCCCCCCAATGTAATAATCAAGCTTAGGTGAATATCTTCGGTGAAGCAAAACAGTTCCAAAATGTTTTTCTGTGTTATTATTGCTGTATACGGCCTTACATTGTCATCGTGAACAATATGTGTCCTGTGCTATTGTCTAGCACAGGATACTTTTCGACCAAATCCTTCTGGACACATTGGAGCTGCTAGACGTCTAAATGGCCGATACTGTTAGCTCCGCGGCGTGTGTAATGGGCCTACAAGTGACACGCCTATTGCGAGTGCGGATAAGGGAAAGGAAGAAGGGGAATGGCGTATCGTTTGTTGGGGCAGAAGGAAGAGCCAAACGGCGAGGCCTGAGTCCCTGAAGCCCCCAGGACCAAGAACAACTACAGACCCATTCCCTCTACCGACTCTAAGGGCGACGCCAGGAGTCTTATGCTACGACCGCTTCAGAAAATTCAGAAGCTTAATTAACCCAGCTGGGAAAAGATAAAGAAGCTCAAAAAACTGAAAGAAGATCGTCAGGCTAAGCGGGCTAAGAAACCAAAGCCGCTGGGGTGTCGGGATCCTTATCCTCTGCCCCGTCTTCCCCATCATCAAAGAAAACATTCATTTATCCACACCTGCCCAAATCAGTGACACACACACACAAACACACACACACCATCCAAACAGAAAGAATCTTGTAAAGACATTCCGTTACCTTCGCCATCACCATTCAAAACACCTCGTCCATATTCCTAGATCAACACCCACAACCATACCTACTCCCACACCTTTTCAATCACCCAAAAAATTGGAAGGTATTAAGAGAAACAGAAGTTTCGAAGCCCCGGAAGAAAAAAGATCAAACCGCCATACTTACCTGGGGAAGATGTCTATCGCGTATCCTGGAAGCGGAAAGGATGTTTGCACAAGCCCGATGCCCTAAAGACCTTAAGTATCTGTGGAATTTTTATCAGGTTAAAAGAAGCGACATCGAAATCCAAGAGGATTCCCAAAGGGTTAGGATTATGCTGCTGACGGTTGTCCGATCTGGACCGGGTACACAGCAGACATGGGTCATGATCGAGGAGGCGAACATGTCTCTTAAATTAGTGCCCCCAGCGGCATACATGCAAGACGAAGAAATGACAATGTTGAAACAGTTTTGTTCAGGGAGGCTCCCCGTTTTTGTTCACCCATTCCCGGGGATACTGCCGGACTATCTTTTGCTGGCACCATCAAGAGTGAGATGGCCACAGGATCAATGGGATAGGCCGTCGGTGTTCTCAGCCCGGCCTTGTTCAGTGCAAAATAGTGGCTCTAATAGGTTTGATAATGTCTCTCTGGTTGGTTAGCGTGAATGATAATGATAATGTATCTCTGGTTGGCTCACTCGCAACCTTCAGCGTCTCGAGGTGAATGGGTTTTTCCCTCTATTCAGCATGTCTTGATGGTCGCCCGAGAGGTGTTTCACGGCTGGTGAGCAAGTCTTTGAATGCAGCAGGATTTCTGTGCTGGATGTTACCATAGGATAAGGCTATTCGTCTCATTGGGTTTTATACGCCCAATGATCATTCTGAGCGGCCTGATTTGTTTCGGCGGATCGAGCCATTTTTGACGACATCTCGTCGGGTAGTTTTAGCGGGCGATTGGAATGCCGTCCTTGACCGCAATATAGATCGTATATGGTCAAATTCGGGTACTAACAACCGGGACGTGAAACCATTTCGGGACTTTATCGATAAGTTTGATCTTGTCGATAAGTATTGTAATGAACACCCTCGGAAAGTAGTGTGGACTTGGACGAATAGAAGCGGCTCGGCTCGGCTACAGAGGTGCATTTTAGCTACCTCGACCGAGTCTTAGTTAAGAGAGTCGATGTAGGACTCGCCCGGGTTCGTGTAAATGTAAGCCTAAGGTTAAGATGGCTGACTACTGGAAATTGAATTCATCATTAATTGGTGAGCAAGATTCCCGTGACCAGCTGCTACTAATACTACTAATGCAGAAATTGACAGGGGCTGAGGTTAGGAATATGTGGTGGGATAAATTAAAATCGAAAATTAGGTCGTCTGATGCTGACTATAGTCGTCGACTCAATCGAAATAGATTAGCGGCTTAAACGGCATGTGAGCAAAAAGTTGATCGGACGATTAAATCCCATGATACTGGGGACATAGCTTTAGCATGGGTAGAGTTGGTATCTTTGCTTATCAAGAAGGATCAAGGGCAAGGTTAAAAAAAATGTCTTTCGAGGCAATGAATATCGCCTCTGAATTGCGTGCAGACGAAGTTTGGAATGTATCACTGCGACATACCGCGTGCATCACAATGCCGAATAAAAGGACTGTGACTACAAACACGGCATTTGTGAGGCTTTTCATGATTAGTTTCAGTGCTCAGTTCGACACCTATTTAGCTAACTTTCCTTGCATCGATGCGGAAATCTGGGGAGGGCTGAAGTAGTTTGGCCGTGACAAATCTTCGGGATTAGATGGTCTAACCTACAAAGTGTACTTGAGGCATTCGCTCGTTTTTTGTGCCTTTGCTGGCACTGATTTACAACAAGTGGATGAAGCACATGGATTCGACTTCTGTATGCAATTCCTGGTACGCTAGTGGAAGTTAAATAGAGTTCGATTGGAGCTTTTGTATTGTCTCGCTCCATTTGTCAAGGTTGTCCGCTTTCGCCTTTGCTTTATGTTCTTGCGTTGGAAACTTTCCTTCGTAAGTTAAAGACGAATCTGGTCCTACGCGGAATTTCCCTACCTGGTGCTACCACCTCGACCAGGTATTCTGCCTATGTTGACGACGTTTCGGTTCTTGTGACGAGCATAGACGATATTGACGAAGTCAGCAAAGAAATCAGAGGGTACGAGACGGTGACAGGCCAAGATCAGTCGCGATATGTCTGTTGGCTTGCGGTTGGGTACGTGGAGGGGAGTTTCTCTTCCTGGACCTTTCCTCTGGACGGACGAGCCGGCTTAGAGACTCGGCTTCTGGTTCGGTCTCGATCTCTTGCTGGAAATGAATTGGTCAGAGGTGAAAGAGAAGACCGAGGCTGCAGGTCGTCCTTGGCCCCGGAAGAAGGGTGGAAGTATGTGCCTCTCACACCTACCCGATCCTCCTTTACCGATTCTCTGTACTTCCACTTCCGTCTATCAAATTAATTTCATTAGTAAGGCTCTTGTTCTCCTTCCTAAGTCCGCTAAGGTACCTCGGGAGATTTGTTACTTCTACCCGTCTAAAGGCCGTCTGGGTATGCCTAGCCTTGAGACTCGTCAACATACGCTTTGCATGGCGTTCCTAGATTGAATGTGTCACCAT